CTGAATGGATTCAAGACTCATGGAGGGGCATGGAGGAGGACCAATGCCTGGTAACTAAACTGGTCTAGTAGCAAAACGTGGCTTCTCTTTCTTCCCTTCTCCTTTCTTTTCTTTCTTCTCTCCTCTCTCTCTCTCTCTCTCTCTCTCTCTCTCTCTCTCTCTCTCTCTCTCTCTCTCTCTCTCTCCTCTCTCTCTCCGTCCTTCCTTCCCCCCTCTTTGTGGATCTTCAAGACAGGGTTTCTCTGTGTTACCAGTCCTGGCTATTCTGGCATCTACTTTGTGGGCCAGGCTGGCTTTTAAGTCACAGAGATCTGCCTGCCTCTGCCTCCCGAGTACTGGGATTTAAGGCCACCACTTCCAAGCCTAATTTGTCTTGTGTGTGTGTGTATGTGGGCAAGTTGCTATCTAAACACCTATTTCTACCCATAGTTAAAAGGGTGCCCAGCTTTAATGGGAGAAGCTTCTTCTTACACTGAACAATGGTGAATGAACAATGAAAGCAGGTGCACAGGTGCACAGCTGCCCAAGATGCAGAAAATAAGCAATAGATGCGGGCCCAGCCCAAAGCAAGTCACTCACACCACTATCTTGTAGGTGCAGGAACATTGCAGAAGGGGGCAGGAAGAACATAATAGCTGGAAGACAGGGTGAATGACTGCAAAATGCCTTTCCTTAGACTTGACACAACCATTGATAGGCTGACACACGACCAGCCCTATCAATGGCAGTCAAGGAAGGGGGAGGCAAGGATCCTATCTTTCACTGCTTAATGGATGGCTGCTGAGAGACTGCAGGAGAAGGACCCGCTATCTTTCCTGTGTACTCTCTGCTGAACCCACCAGGCTCCAACGGAGAGCTCCACACCTATGGGCACAGAGACGGCTCTGGCTGATCATGGCGGGTCACAAAACAAGTAGACATGTGAGACTTGTGGGAAGGGAGAGGGCGGTGTGGAGATGAGAGGCAAGGGCAGACACTGTGGAAGGTGCGTAAGGAGGAAACCGAGGAGAACAAGGTAGGAGTGAGGCCCGCCTTGTTAGAGGTCCCTGTGAGAAAGCAGAGGTGACCAGCACCATGGGACAAGGGGCTAAGGAGAAGGTTCATTAAGAAATCAACATGGCTGGAAGGTGGTGGCGCATGTCATTAATCCCAGCACTTGGGAGGCAGAGGCTGGTGGATCTCTGTGAATCAGAGGTCTACAGGGAGATGCAGGACAGCCAGGATTACACAGAGGAACCATCCTGAAAAAACAAAAAAAAAAAAAAAATTAAATAAATAAGTAAAAAGAAAAGAAAGAAATTAACATGTTTTTGGCATCTTGAGCCCCATCTTGGCTCTTTGGCACACTGGGCCTTCCTTTTTGCACATCTTCCACGCTCATTTCTGTGCATAGCACCCGGTGGTAAGCAAGGTTCATCAAATACTTCCTGGACGATGCACCAGAATTCCTTGAGTAACAGGCAGGACCCGTCTGGGGTCCAGACTAGGGTGTGCACGCTGACAGGAGCCCAGGGAAGCTTGTGGATCCCAGGAATGTTGTCTATCTTCATACACTGCTGTCTCACAAGTCATCTTCCTTCCTTCATCAGGCCTGAGACAACCCCTGCCTCACGCTGGTCACTGTAGTCTGTGTGCCCAAGGTGCAGGTGAGGGACCCAGGTAAGCATGGATACCAGGCCATCCTTTCTTTTCACCTCTGGAGGGTCTACCCATTGGGGAATAGAAGCCACTGGGTTCCCTTTGGGGGGGGCAGTTTTGAGATAGGGTCTCTCTGTTATGTAGCCCTGGTTATCCTAGAACTCCCTATGAGAGTTGAGACCAGGCTGGCCTCAAATTCAGAGATCCAACTGCCTGGATTCAAGGTGTGTGCCGCCATGCCTGGCTTAAACCATTGGCTTTCTACAGGGAACAAAGGATCCAGGCTGAATTTCAAGACCACTTTGTAGTAACAGGGTGGTCCGTATAGTCCAGGTGAGACCAGCAAGGTGTGTGTGACACATGGGCACTAACTGCCCTATGTCTGGTGTGGGTGCTAAGGAACAGGACCCCTTCCCAAGGACTCAAAGGGTCCAAAGGACATTTCTTACTCAGATCAGCAGCGCATGGCCTCCAGGCCATTTCCATCAGCCTCTGCCACTCTGTGCCCGCTCTTGAGTCTGTGCTGTCGTGGGATGAGATGACTATTTTGTCCCGAGTTCTCACCTGATCTGTAAACCCTGCCTCCCTTCCTCAACCCCAAATATCTCCAGGTGCAGTAGCTTCTACTCACTTGGATCTGCAGGGCCTTCAGTTACACAAGATGGGTCAGGAAACCACCATTTACTTTCAAGCTCAGCATTGCTAACTCTAGAACTAAGCAGAGCTCTCTTTAATGTTACAGCGTGTTCTCCTGTTTGTTCTTTCTTTCTTTCTGAAAGAAAGTTTACCAGGTTTACCATGTAGCTCTGGCTGTCTTGGAACTCACTACGTAGACCAGGCTGTCCTTAAAAATCCCAGTGATCCACCACCTTTGCCTCCCAAATACTGAGATTAAAGGCATGCGACACATCTAAATCCTGTTTTTATTTTTATTACTTATACAGTGGTCTGTCTGAATGTATGCCTGCAGGCCAGAAGAGAGCATCAGATCATGTGGTTGCTGGGAACTGAACTCAGGACCTCTTTCCAGCGCTCTTAAACTCTAAGCCATCTCTCTCCAGCCCCTAAATCCTCGTTTGTTTTTTCGAGACAGGGTTTCGCTGTAGCTTTGGAGCCTGTCCTGAAAACAGCTCTTGTAGACCAGGCTGGCCTCGAACTCACAGAGCTCTGCCTGCTAAATCCTGTTCTTAAGGCTAATCTTTAGGACTAAGCAGCTGAAATAAGGCAAATAAGGCAAAAGGGCAGGCATAAACACATATGGGCTGATCTGACAACCTAGGCGATTTCTCAGCAGGGCTGGTTTCCTAGGTGACCAGGTCAGAGGTTTAGTGTGGGAAGGGACTTCAGGCTGTGCAGGCCGACGGTCTCCAAGACAACTAACCTACCTGAGGCCAGCTCTGGGGTAGAAAGGGTTAGCAAGAGACAGGGCTGACAAGCCCCTGCACACCAGCCAAAAGGTACCTGCTAGCTGGGAACCTGGGGGATTAACACAGCTTCATGGCACCTGGGACAGCAGGCTAGGGTGGGGACACAGTGACCCTGCAATCACCTAGAAGAGGGTCTCTGTCTGGAGGATGACAGAATTTTAAATAAGGACTATCTCTGTGATTCGCCCAATTCTAACTGAAAACTGTTCCGTAACAGTGAGGATGAAGCAGCCTTGGCCATTCATCTTTGCTCACTCGCTGTTGATGCTGGGGCTCAGTGCTATTCTGGCCACACCTGGCTTCTTCCTGGCCTTTCAAAAGTACTTATGAAGCCATTTCTCCTTGCAGGGTACTCAGAGCCACTGACCCATACACAGAGGACTTTCAACAGCTTCACCAGCAGCCAGGCCTGCCACCACCAGTGGTTACCACGCCGAGCTGCTTCAGAACCCCGCTCAGATCACACTTTTCTGGGCTCCACTCACTCAGACACCTTGATCCTTGTCATCCTTTCAGTCCAAACGGCGAGTCTCCCTCCTGCAGTTGCCTTGGTCTACCGTTTTTTTTAAAATTATTATGTACAGTGTTCTGTCTACACGTCAAAGAGGGCACCAGATCTCATTACAGATGGTCGTGAGCCACCATGTGGTTGTTGCTGGGAACTGAACTCAGTACCTCTGGAAGAACAGCCAGTGCTCTTAACCTCTGAGCCATCTCTCCAGCCAGGTCTATCCTTTCTAAATGGTGTTTAGGTTGAGGGAAGACGACACAGATCTCATCACCAGCTAGCCGGCAGGATGAGGTCAGCAGTGAAGTCCCGGCACACTCCCTTTGGTACCTTCCACACAGCTCTAAGCTACCCACCCCTGGGAAAACCGGGCTAGTACAAGTACTGAGCAGCCACAACTTCCTGCAGACTGACGACCTCGGCACTTGCTCTGTGGCTCTAGCTTCATCAGATCTCAGAATGGATCCCAGCTGTTCCCACTCCACCAGCAGCTCCTGCAGCTGCAAAGACTGCAAGCACACCTCCTGCAAGAGCTTCCACTGCTGTCCAGTAGGCTGTTTCTCTGTAGCTGTGGAGCCTGTCCTGGAACTAGCTCTTGTAGACCAGGCTGACCTTGAACTCACAGAGATCCACAGGTCTCTGCCTCCTGAGCGCATGTACCACCACTGCATAGGCTGTGTTTTCAAAGGCGCACCTGACAATGGCACCTGCCAGGAGGACAGTGCTGCTCCTGTGTGTAAACAACTCAGCTGTTCCTCATACAGCTCTACCCTGTTTACTAAATCCCTTTTTCTATCAAGTAGGTGAATAATAAAGGCCAATTTGAATCTAAAAAACCAAAACAAACCAACAACCACAAACAAATGTTGTGACCTCAGACAGCACGTTTAGTGTTCTGTCCTTCCCACCTGAGAGTAAGGGCTGTTCCCATCCCAGGACATTCTCTACTGGGTACTGATGGAGTTATTAGGAGTGCCTCAACCCAAGCTACATGGAGGTGGCAGGAGAAAGGCGATGCTGAAGGCACCGGAGTCCCAGGCTTGGGCTAGTGTTGCCTAGAACAGGGTGAGGGGTCTGGGCTAAGGCCCCAGTCCTAGGACCACTGTTGGTGCAAGGTCTCATATCCAGGTTAAATGAGCTGCCAAGGCTTTAATCTGCAGGCTGAAAGGCAGTCATTAGGACGACCTCATGAGGAATGCTGACTCAGAGTGCAGGGTACCATCCAGGAAGGGCAGCCCACTCAGTTTGCATTACACACCCACGTACAATGACTGCTGTTGCCCATGAGGGGGCGCAGAAAGCTGTGGGGCACACATCCAGTTGGCAAGTGGCAGCTGGCACCCTGTCCCCAGTGAGAAGACTGTTCCCAAGCAGGCTGGAAAGGCCTGGCTAGTGAGGTGGAACACACAGAATGACAGCAGACAGACTGGCCATGATAACTTAGTTTATGGGTCAAGCCGATGCAATGCAAAGTTGGTTATCCTTTTTATCATTTCTTTTTTTTTAACCAAAATAAATAAATCAGATCTGTCCCTTTGAAGGTCAAAAGAGGAAGGAAGGACAGCTGGCTCCGGGGTCACCTTGCCCTTAATCACTGATCTCCTGTTTCTGACCTGCCTTGGCACAGCGAAGAGAAGAATCTATCAACTGCTTCCTTGTGTTCAAGGGAACAACAGAAAGCGAATTAACTGGGGGATTAGGGAGGAGGGGGGAGAAGATTCAGCAGGACCAAGAGGCAGCCAGTGCCTGGGGTTTGGGACCCAAGGGAGCTTCTGGACTCTACTCAGAGCCAATCACTCCAGGCATGGTAGTTAGGGCAAATTCCCCACAGCCCAATCCCAAGAAGGGTAGCAGAACTGGACCTAACTTTGTTGCTAAGGCCTTTTTAGCTGCTCTGTACCATTCTCCACTCACCCAACAGCTGAATGACGCCCCAAAAACCTGCCAGCTATAGCTCCTCCATTACTTCTTAGTTTGGCCCTAGCAAGACAAAGCTAGCCCTAGTTTTCAATCTGTGGCTTGCTAGGTGACAAGGACTGACTACTAGTGCTCTGGGAAGCCACACAGGATTTCTGTTCCAATCCTGGAGGATTACTTGGTGAGCATGGATAGGGCCAGAGCTGCCTTTCCTAGGATATCTTGAGGGACCTTTCTTCGTCCTGCTCCTTATCGCCTCCATGGCAGGTGTGTAGCCTGAGAAGTCAGCCCAAGCTGGGCAGTATCTGGCCTGGGGAGCAGCTGAGCACTGGAGCAGACAACAGCTTAATTCCTATGAGAACAGGAGTGGGGGTGGGGAGGATGTGGCACAGCAAAGGGCAGAAGTGTGGGCAGTGCTGAGGCACTATTCTTTAGTTGAGAAGCAAAGAGCATCATGGACTCGGGGGACCATGGCCTGATCAGCTCCAGGGCGCCTAAGAGAATTTCTTGAAGGCGTCCAGGTCAAAGGCTGTGTCCAGGAAGCGCTGCAGCTCTGTCAGGTGAGTCTTCTTGTTGCCGGTGGCTGGAGCAGCTGCTGGGTCTCGGCCAGCATACCTGAGAGACAGAGAGAGGTAGTAATGAGGGCAATAGTCAGAGGTGGGCCCTGCCTGCTCTTCTCTACCTGTTTCCAGGTTAACTGCCCACCAGCAGGTCTCGCCATTGGGGACTTGGGCCTTACCAGACAGGCTTGGCACGGTCAATGGTGGTCCGAAGTCTTGGCTTGACATAGTCATAGTAGCCTTGGTTCTTGTGCTCTTCCTGGCACCAGGCCAGCTCAGCATTGGGATACTTCTGTGCCTCCTTCAGTAGGAGGTCGAAGGGGAATGGTGATAGCTGAAAGAGAGCAGAGCTGGGATCAAGAAAGGGACATCCAGAGGGTGGGGAGGGTTACACAAAGGGTGGCTGCAATTCCAGCAGGCAAAGTCTTGCAGCTATTGCAGGTGGGAAAGGTTAGAAACCTCAGTAAACAACGTTCTGCCAAAGCACCATAGCCCAAATACCCGAGAGGTGGGACACTTGCACCTGGCTGCGATACCACATGCTCTCACCTGCTCAATCCTTGTAATTGCCACCTGCTCTGCCATGTCCCTGGCTTTGCGCTCTCGGGTGAGGTCATAGTACACCTTGCCAGTGCAGAAGAGAAGTCTTTTGACATTATTTGGGTTCTGAGCTGCAGGGCCATCTTCTGGGATCACACGCTGAAAGTGGGTTCCTACAAGAAAATTTCTACAGCTGGGCTGGTTCTTTCTCCAGGCCTATTCCATGGTGGCTGTGCATGAGCTGTCCCACAGTGGCTGGGATCTATGGATTCTGAGGGTTAGAGATACTTCTACCTTATGAGCTACTGAAGCCTGTGAATCTGCTCAGACTAAGAGTGCTGCAGAACCCAGCATGGGGATGTGCATCTTTAACCCTAGCACTCAGGAGACAGAAGCAAGTGGATCTCTCTGAGTTTAAGGTCAGTTCATTCTACACAGTAGTAGAGACTGTCTTAAACCAATCGTCTGATGGCTGCTTTCACACACACCTTACAAATGTGCAAACACTCAGAGGACACGCCTAAACAACTGCTGGTACAACTGGTGTGTACCAAACATGGAGACCTGACTGTTTCCATGATTGAACAAACATTCAATGGGAAACGACTGAGTGATAGATGAAAAACCCATGGCAAAAATCATATTCAAGCCAGGTGGTGGTGCCACATGGCTTTAATCCCAGCACCCGGGAGGCATAAACCATATTCAATGGTGAAAGACTGGAAACTGTGCCTCTAAGGTCAAGAACAAAGGTGGCAGGCCCACCCTCACCACTTCTATTCATCATACTACTGGAGTCCTAAACACAACAACTGGGCAAGAAGAAATAATGGCATCAAATGGAAGGTGGAAAGTGAGGGTGTTTCAGTGGATAGAACACTTGCCACGCACACCTGACGTGAGCTCAGCCTCTGGAACCCCATAACGTGGAAGAACCAACTCCTGAAAGTTGTCCTCTCACTTCTATACATACTATACAAACTCCCCATCACACACACACGCACACGCACACAAATATATTAAGTTAAATAAAATGATGAAATTTGTAGAAGAAAGGCTTGCTCTCTAAAATTCATAGAGCAACACAAGGATCAATGAATAACCAAATAAAATTTTAAGACAAAGCTCAGAAGAAAACTTTCAAAATGAACTATAAAAGCTTTAGTAAATAGTGTGGCACTGGCAAGGGCAGTGGTGGTGCACACCTTTAATTGCAGCACTCAGGAAACAGAGGCAGGTGGATCTCTGTGAGTTCGAGGCCAGCCTGGTCTACAAGAACTAGTTCCAGGACAGCTAGAGTTGTTACACAGAGAAACCCTGCCTTGAAAAACCAAACCAAACAACAAACAAATAAATAAATAATTTCTTTATCTGATGTAAGCTCTACAAATAAATAGATGGCGTGATGGCTGGACAAAGTAACAATGTTCCTCCGTGGCTAAGACAGTAGATTTCACATCATGTAAATGCTGCCACACATAAAATGTAGAAAATAAACAAGAGGCCTGCTGTACAGAAGACTGTAGGGGCTTGGTGGTTGAGAGGAAGCAGTTTTCATCTGGGTAGCTATGGCCTGTATTAGCACTGCTTGTCACTTTCCAGATAAACACCTCAAGCTACAGACTCCTACCTCAGCAGTGCAGCTGCATGGTCCTTCCCTTGCACCTTTTCCTCGCTGTGAGGAACACACTCCCAGACCTGCGCCCCTGAGCGGTGTGAGCTGTCAACTCTAGACACACAGTAGGGTCTCTTTTGTTCTTGTTGTTTTGTGTTTTAGACAGGGTCAGACCATGCAATTGTGACTGATTTGGAAACTGCTCTGTGGAGCAGGCTGACCTACAACTCAAGAGATGCTCCTGTCTCTGGTTCCAGAGTGCTGGGATTAAGAGAATGTGCCACCATGTTCTGCTATTTTAATGCAGTCCTGGGGCTACTCAAAGTCTTTTATCGCATGACTAAAAATCTGGAAAGAGCCTCAGGAGATGGATAAATACAAGCCACATAAGCCCTACGGAACAGCAAAGAGCCACCAGTGCTAACACCGTTCCAGGAAACACATAAGCCCCCACACCTACCTGGAAGCATCTCATCAAAGCTAGTTCTTGCCTCAGGGTGGCGTAGCAGGGATTTGGGAGTGAAGACGATTAACTGAAAGACAAAATAAGTTCACAGTAGACTACATATATATATATATATATATATATATATATATATATATATATATATATTTT